TACCCCTCCCTCCTCAGCCCTACACTGCATCCGCCGAGGAAAGTCATCCACCCTCCCTTGGCCCCAATATAGGACCAATCCTCTCCCCCCTTACCCCAGGAGCACGCAGTTCCCACCTAAAGCGTGCCCCCCCATCCCCTGCCCATTTTCGCCTCCGCAAGGACTGATGTCGACACAGTCCTTGCCTGGAATAAGACAAACCCCTGCTCCGCCCCTACCCTCTTTGAGACATTCACCCCCCTCCTTGCGATGCCTCTGCAGGATAGAGCTCCCCCCACCCCCTTCCCACTATTCAGCCCACCGGGAGCAATCCAATCCAGCCGATTAATGACACACAATGAGAATAGTAGTGACTACCAACTCACCTACTGATGAAAAACATCTGATGAAAACCGGCTAATGATGATGATGATGATGGTGAAAGTGAGAATAAAGACGGACTGATGGTGCTGATCATACCGAAGAGCAGCACCCTCAGCCCCTATGATTACAAACTAATGATGATATTGATGATGATGAAGATGATATGATGATGGCGATGATGATAGTAATATCGACAATGATGATGTTGATGATGAGCTGATGATTGTATTGGTGATATTCATGACGTTACTGATGGTGATGAGCATACTAACAAGGATGTTGATGGTGATGTAAGTAACGATGGTGATGATGATGATGATCATGACGAAAGTGATAACTCGCAACGCCCTCTAGTGACTACAAAAAGATGATGGTGTGCTGACGAGCCCCTTGGATAGCAACCTAAGAATGATGACGATGAAGACGATGATGATGATGATGATGATGAAGATGATGACGCGCAACGTCCTATGATAACTACAAAATGATGATGATGAAAGTGATGATAATAGCGCCGAACTTCATACACCTTGATGATGATGACAAAACGTACCCTAATGCTGATGATGGTGATGACGAGCAGCGCCCTGATGACGATAACGAACCATTGCTGCGATGATGCTGACTAATCTCGCCCAGTTGATGATGATGGTGATGAACGCGCGAGTGTCACCGATGACAGAGATGCATACAAATCAAAATCAACACACTCGATGTCGCCTCCAATCCTCCTCCCGCTCCACGTAAGCACTCGCTCCTCCCTTCCGTCCGCGTCATACCAACCGCCCACAACAACACTACGCAGACCAAGGAGCAAAAGCCATAGAAGGCTAAATTTCTCAAGGAGACCCACCTCCTCTCGTAGGCAAGTTCCCCTTCACCCAACGTGTCAACCTATAACACCACTGGGTGAAGCGCGAAGCCGGAGATGGCACTGAAGTGCTTTCAAAAGGTAGGCAGCACCAAGTCGCGGTCTATCTCCCCACCCGCCCGCCGTCCTCCTCATCTCCCCATCACCAAGGCGCCATCGCGTCGAAACTACTTGCGTCATACCCGACTGCCACTTTGCGCGCGCAAGTTTCCAAGCTGCAGGGCGCCCCCGGACTACCCGTGTGACAAGGCCAACCCGACGAGGCGCAGCGCTCCCGGAAGCGCTGCGCCTCCTGCGTTCTAGCCGTATTCGGTTCAATCTCTGGTCAGATTATCCAGCGGGATTTCCAGTTTTCCCTCCCCCTCTCCATTTCTTTTGACTGATAAGGTTTGACCAATGTACATTTTCTTGAGCTTATCCGCCCATGTAGGCGGAGACACCGGACTGTTTTCGACTTCTTTCCCTATCTGCTGGTCTTTCATTTCCTTTAACAGCTCCGCCGGAGAGGGGGGAGACCGAGACTGTATCCCTTCCGTGAATGAGGGGAAGTTGGGAGGAGGAGGCTTCTTCCGTGGTCCCCACCTCCATCGTCCCGTTCCCATGCCGGGGCCGCCAATCAATTGAGTGGTGACCCATGGCCCCCTGATACCAAATTTTCTGTGGCCGTCCTCTTCCTTTTCCTTTTCTTGCTTCATTTTTTAGGCTTGCCATAATTGTCTTTTGTGCAGGGGTCCGTACTCACACGTGAGTGACTTGTACAACCACGTCAGAATTCACCGGGTTGGAAACACCTCTACTCTATGGTTAGATTAGGGGTAGATTCGAAAGGGACGAGCAGGGACAGCATGGGGTAAGGAGAATAAGGGGTCACGGTCACGGAATCAGGGGGAAAGACTTGAAGAGGGTGCTAAGGAATAGCGGAGGGGATAGGCTCAGGAGGGGGAGAGAGGGGTCGTGAGCGAGGGGACGGTAGGGAGCAAAGGGTGACGTGAGCAAAGCTGAGGTGATGTGGGCGGGGTGGGGGAAATCGCTGGTAGGGAAGCTGAACAATGGGGGGATTGGTGGAGGGGAGGGCGAGGCTCGGGGAATGAGCGGGGTGGCGAAAGGGTCGGAGAGGCTAAGGTAGGGGAGAAGGAAGGGTGGAAGGAGGAGTGGTAACATCAAAACTCTGACATAGTTCCTGGAAACCTTGAGCAAAAGACTCACAACTTGCTAAGGTAGGGGAGAATGGTACTCTGCAGGCTGATCTCATGGAGACCCCAATGAAGGGGGCCATGAGCAGCGACAAGGGGAAAAGACTGTCTGAAATTGCCAGCAGAATGACACTCAGCCAACAGTCTGAGAAGTCTACAATACGCTGCAATCTATGTTACCAGAGTCACCGGGGGTACCCGGGCGACACCAAAAAGGGGGTCAAATTTTCTCTTTTTTTTTTCTTGGTAGCGGGGCAATTTTGCGCCCATTGAGACATGGCCAAATCTTGGCCTTATCTTTGAATTTGGTGATGTCTCACCGAAGGGTGCCTATGGGGAATAAGCGGGGTTCGAAAGGGCTCGAAGGGGCGTAAAGAGGAATGATATAACTTAGTATTTTATTCTTATTTTTTAGTTCGGATACCATAGCGAATTTCGTGGTCACCCTTGGGCAAAAAATGTTTTGTTTGCAATTCTGCATGACAGTGATGACACATATTTTTTTGATTTTCTTTGTTTGTGCTGGGTCTGCCTGGGACCTTGACCGGGACTTTGCCTGGGCCTGGACCCGCCGGGCCACGCAGGCCAATCTGAGGCAACCCAGCTGGTAACACAGGCTGCAACATTATTTCAGATCTTTGCAGCTACAACCAGAGCACACATACCTTAAACCACCAGTACGTTTCCCAGCCGCTTTGCAGAAACGTGCCGTGCATGGTGACGTGCCGGGCGGGATGCACTGGGGTGCCATTTCGCCCGGAATCCATCCAGCCAAAACGGCCCGCACGCGAGGCCCGATTTGCCAGGAGGGATTTCAGGCGTAAGGGCACCACACAAAGCTTGTACAGCAGTGGTTCCTCTCTCTCTCTCTTTTTTTTTTTTTTTTTTTTTTTTTAGTACAATATATATATATATATTTATATATATATATATATATATATATATATATTTTTTTTTTTTTTAGTTTTTTTTTTTTTTTTTTTTTTTTATATATATATATACACTCTAATTCTTGTTTGTGCACTTTACTTCCTTTTGCATTGTTTTTTCTTTTATTTTTTTTCCGTGTTACGTGTTAGCCTGTATATAGCAGTCATAGACAAGACTGGCTCAAATGGTTTGGTTAGAATTGGGAGCATTCAATGACACTGCAACCAGAAAAGGAGTCTTTTTTTTTTTCCTGGTGGTGGTAAGAGAACCACCGGGATTGAGGCTTTGCCTGGCGGGCCGCTCCATCTATTGGTGGGGAGCAACACCTGCTGGGCGTGACACATTTGCTTTCATACAGTGAAGGCAGAAGGAATACCCTCCCCAGCTATTGGATCCTCCGTCAGGAGCAATCAATGCTAAATTCATTCTGTATATGGGACGCTGGACCCGTTTTCCAGCAGGTGATGCTCCCCAGCAATAGATGGAGCCTCTCCCCAGGTGCTAGCGGTGTCTGCTCTTACCAGTACCGCGGGAGGGGGTGTTTAAAAAAAAAAAGAAAAAAAAAAAAGAAAAAAAAAAGAAAAAAAGAAGGTAACTGGTTATGGTCACTAGGATGGATGGAAGAGATTGTGAGTTGTTTTTTTAAGATAATAATCTCCAGACCCTGCCCCTCGAGAGGAAGGCAGATGGTGCAGCAGCTGTTTTTGGTTGTTAAGGTCTATATATCTAATGGGGACGCTGGGCCCGGTTCCCAGCAGGCGCTGCTCCCCACCAATAAGATTGGAGCCTCAATAAAAAGAATCGGCAGTCTTATTACCAAGGGGCTACCCCTAGGGCAGTACGTTGCTGCATTGAAGCTGAGTTTGCTCAAAAAGCAAAACAAAGCAAAACAAAATGTCACCACTGCGCCACTGATCTTAACCGGGTCTCGTTGGGATGGCATCATACGAGACCAGGGTTAGTAAACAAATCAAACAAAACAACAAACCGCCAAATCACGACCTTGGAAACAAACCAACAAAACAACAAACCGCTTAATCACAACCCGTGATTCAAGTCCACCTCACCCGAAAAAGAGGAAAAAAACAAACACCGAAACCGCCCAGAGCAAAAACGAACACACATTGGGACACGAGACCCAGGTTAGTCTTCTGTGTGTGTGTGTGTGTGTGTGTGTGTGTGTGTGTGTGTGTGTGTGTGTGTGTGTGTGTGTGTGTGTGTGTGAGAGAGAGAGAGAGAGATGGAGATAGTAATTGAAAGCTGCCTCGTGAACCACAGGCAGAAAGGGACAAAAGGACAAAGAAACGGGGGGCTGTGACAGACTGTCTCGTCAGAGTTTCAGCAACTCCTCAGGAGGCTGAGCCCTCTATAGTCTGCACAGAGTCCCCCTAACAAAGGATACTGCAAGTGACCATTCACCAACTGACACCCCGAGGTGGGCACCAACCACTGCCCGCAAGTGTACCTGTGACGAAAAAATCGAAAACCAAAGCAGACAATCACTCACTCACAAGAGACAGAACGCTCTATTGACTGAAGGTTCACACCCCAGCGTAAGCCAGCAAAACCCCCACGAAAAAAGGGAAGGTCTGCCACCGCCAGAAAATACACTCCAGACATGCAGCTGCTGGCACTAGAGGCACAGCATGGGCATGCGGTAGAGCCCCAAACACTGCCGTTCAAGCTCATATATTATATTTTGCAATTGAGAGAATCACAAAACCACACAAAGACCCCAAGTACACCAACAAGTACACCGAAGGAAAGATAGCCTGCCACAAAGAATCAAATAACTACAAATGTGAATCCCCAGAGGCACCAAAGCAACAAGAAAGGAACGAGCAATAAACAGAGGACTTCATATTCCACAATTACGAGAACATAAAACCGCACGACGAACAGCCCCATCAGGGTCCTCAAGGGCACGAATCTGACATCATGTAACAGCAAGCGATCGTGCGATGTTACTTTACCTTTCACAAAGTGGGACCCCTTCCACGGAGATAAAGACTGTTCACGAGTCATAACCTCATACCCTTCTCTCAGAAGCTGAACAACAATAGATATCTGCAGCAGACTTGCATCTCCACCATCCCCATTCATGTTTCACCTGACTGGGTACCAGCTCATCTTTCATCTGACTGGGTACCAGCAGCATACAAAACACTGTCCCTTTTTGTAATTTTAAGCGGGTGACTGACTTCACTCCCCACAAAAGTCCAGGAGAAGCAGATGACCATTGTCGGGGCTCGGTCGAATGCCGCCGTAACATGGGAAAAAAACAACAGCCCTCTTGCAAGACACAACTTAACCATGTAAGCCACCACCCTCTATCTCCGATTTTCCAGGCCAGTGACTATAGGGCTGCGGAAAAGGTCCCATAAAGGGGTGTTCACATCACAATGTCGAAAGACGTATTCGGCTTTATCGCATAGAATACACCCGTCATCCAACCAAGAATCATAGTGTTGCACCGTGTGCGATCATCACCCTTCTGCCTATCTCTATCTGCCCGGTAAAGGGGTGGTGAGGGGTTTCGGATGGCAGCGGACTTGGAAATGGTACCCATCCATTTCCAGTGTGCCAGAAACCAGTTCCGCACCAGGCCTTGCAAAAATCTGTTTGGATTGACAGGTCAGGTCCTCAGGTAGTCATGGTTTAATTATTGCAATGGATTCCATTCCTCGTCATAACCACGTTCGAAGTCAGAAACGTTTTCCGTTCTTCTCAGCACTCAATACTGAGTCCTGACAACAACTGCAACCACGCAACACAGGGGCACAAGCTTACTAAAGATCATCACACCATGGCGCCGATCCCACAAAACATGGCTGGGAATTCGGGCCTGTATGTCGCTTCCTGCCGACGTTAGCCTCCCGGCCGTCGATAGATGGTTGATCTGAGTGTCCAAATGGATGACAACCTTCTGTTGTACATCCAGGTAGGGATTCTCTCCCTTCAGAACCAGCAGGTTCATGGGAGAGAGTATTGACGTCGATATCCGTCATCCTCTCCCTGCTGCTGGTCCGGGAAGTAGTGAATGCCCTGGACCCCAAGTCCAGGACAGGACAACCTGCTGTTGCACATCCAGGTGGGGATTCTCTGCCCTCCCTTCAGAACACGCAGGTTCGTGGGATAGTATTGAGGTGGATATCCGTCATCCTCTCCCTGCTGCTGGTCCATGAAGTAGGAAATGCCCTGGACCCCAGCTCCAGGGTGAAGATCAACTCTCCTCTAATCAGGACCCTGCAGGTCCAGACACAGAGACTGCTAGCCTTTCCTGCAGAGCTGCAGGTCCGAGTTGGAGAGTGAATGCCTTCCCCCCAGGACCTGCTGTACCCAGCTCCGGGTCAGGATCATATTTCCTGTATACAGGATCTAACGGTCCAGAGGCAGAGAGTGATAGCCTTACCTGCAGGACCAACGGTCGATTGAACGCCTTCCCTGCAGGATGTGCTGTTTCAAAGGTAGGACTGATTTGCCATCTGTTCAGGATCAGCAGGTCCACCCACAGGTGAGTTTTGAGTTGGCTATTGGTTATATCCTTCCTGCCGCACCTCCACAGGTAGGGAGGGATTGATGTCCTCCCGACAACACAGGCAGGTGCAGGAGACTACCATCTTCGCCCTAATAGAACGCCCGATAATTATCGCCGTACCTGGGCTGAAAGTTGCGCCAAATACAGCTATAATGACCGGGCGTTCTATTCGGGTGAAGACGGCAGTTAAAAAACGCCTATGACACTTGTCATGTGGTGTGACAGTAAAATCTCCAAAGGCCTTCCAGAACAGAGGTTGGCGCACACTTCAGTTAACCAGTGGCATGCATGGTTATCACTCTGGCAATGCTCTTACCTTGTTGCCCAATCCATCAGCAAGTGTTTTTTTCTGCTGAGTACGCAGATGGAACCAACGGACAAGCTGGGGAGAGTTCAAACAATATGATACACAGCTCCTTCTGCTTCGTGTGATGATCAGCGAGTCGAGTGTGGTGGTAAGAAGCTGCAGGCCAATCCCTGGAGCTGTTTTCTGACCCCTCTGTATGTGACATGAAGAAGCAAAAAGTAAATGGACACCCAAGCGCTTTGATTGCAGCAGCATCGCAATGACTGGGTTGAACCATGCCCGCAAGTCTGTATAAAGACTCCGAGGACAATATTGTCAATCCTTGAAGCTGGTGTGTCCGGGATCTCCATATGACATAGTATGGTACTCTATCTGCACATGGCACTCTCTCTCTCTCCCTCCATCCCTCCTTCCCTCCTTCCCTCCTTCCCTCCTCTCTCCCTCCCTCCCTCCCTCTCTCTCTCTCTCTCTCTCTCTCTCTCTCTCTCTCTCTCTCTCTCTCTCTCTCTCTCTCTCT